GCGAAGGTCCCTAAAGAATCTTGTCATTCTCATAGATGATTCACGAGAACGTCTGCGTGGAGCATATTGATATCACAATTTCTCAGCGTTGGCCAACATGCACCCCAGAACCACAGCGACGGCTTCAGGGTTGTGAGCGGCATTCGCATAGACAAAACAAAAACACATGCGCAAAAGGCCCTTCCCCCACTGCGCAAAGCTGGGTTGTCGCCAGGGCTCCTCCTGTAGCTGTTCATCATATGCATCACCTAAGCCAATGGCCGCAAAGCGTGGCCCTGGTCTGTTCTTGATTGATGCATTGGTGCAACATAATTTAGTTGACATCGTGACCATCATCTACTACAGGGAGTGTCCTTGAAACTTTGGTTGAGCGTGCAACTTCTGGATAGCAGGTCCCTGCATTTGGGCGACCAGACAGCCTCGCCTGGAAGCACCTAGCCCTTAAGCAACTAAACATGCTAGGTCCTTAGGTCTGCTGATCTTTACGCTCAACGCCTACAGGTACCAGTAGCATGTGAGTGGCATGGGCAGGCATCATCCTTGCATGAGCTGCCTGTAAGGCTGGGCATGCAAGCGGACAACTGTCGCTCTGACTATGGACTCTGTCTTTGGGAAGGAGTGTACTGTAGAAGCCATAATCCTGAGGCAGCTGAGGTGCTCCAATCAAACCTTCCTGGATTCGGAATGGGCACCTGTCTGGTCAACCAGGAGGCGCGCATCTCGAGGTTTTGCATGCATCATTCTTGGACAGGTGTCTCTTAACATGCCATCCTCGATGTGCGCATGAATGAAGTATTGCCACAAGCATGCTTCGAGACAACCAGTGGTTGTCATCATGTGTACCTCAAGGCGGCAAATGTATACTAGGTAGCTCTTCCAGCTGACGGGCAGCTCCCTGGAGTCCCGCATGCGGGGGCTGCAGAATGAGCCGTATCTTTCCATGTCCAAGTGATAGTAGAAGCCATGTACCAAGATAGGGCCGCTTTGTAATGAAGTTGAAATGGGACACCGACGGCAATGCCATCAAAGAAGAACTGCCCTGATGAAACTGCAACAATAACAAGAGCTATAAACAACTGTACGAGCACACCACAGCCAACAAAAACAAATGAGGTAAGATTTAACCGTATCATGACATAAGTAGTGTTCCAAATCAATGGCGCCCATACAACAAAAATAGTTCGGCTAACAGCAGGGCTTGCTGTTAGTGTTAGCTCATCTGTCTAGCAGGGCGTGAAGAGACAGCACTAGCTGGGCTCTCATAATAATGGGCGACAGGACTACGAACTGAACTGCCTAAACTCCGTTGAAGGCTTTGGGGTTTCCAAGAAACATCTATTTCTAGAAGCCCCAATTCGCACATAGTTGCCATCTCCATTTCATCTTTCATTTTCTTTTATTTGGATTCTACATTACGGCTGCAGTGTCCCTAGTCGACCCCTAATATAACCATCCCAGACAAGTATACGTATACGTATACATATACATATACATATACATATACATATACATACACATACACATACATATACATACATTCATTCACGCATACACACACATGCGTACATATGCATGGGTCGAGCGCAGATTTCTGAAG